TCTGGTTTTCTTTTAATGAGCTGATGAGAACACCAGGAGTCACAAATCCTGTAATAAATAAGCCCAAACATTCAGCTGCACAGAAAACTTTCAGCTCTTGCACAAAGATTTTTAACACCTTTGTGTTTGCTTTACTTCAGCAAATGTTAAACAGGCAGACTACGACCCAAAGAAGAGAAAAAATATTTTCTGGCGAAGATGTAGTTATGCACTTTGAAGCATGAGTCATTAAATTCCTGTTCAGAAAACTGGCTTTTATAGAATCACTGACTTGGACACATCCTCGTGTCTGCAGGCTCAGACATTCCAAAACAGTTTTTATTATAAAATCAGGATTAATGTACACTAATAGATTCAGGAATCCTTAGCCAGGTTTAAATTATTTGTGGCCATTATTTTTAAATGCTTTTATCTCAAATATACCCATAAAACAGTTGAGTATTTTGACAGGGGGCCTTCTGTACTCTGGGAGTTAAAGCTACTTAACAGGGCCCCACCACTTTCCTCAGAAAGTGTCTTCCCACGTAATAAAGAACTAGAAGGCAGGAACTCCGGTGGGTTGAGGAAGCAAGAGTCTTGTAAAAATGCTTACTATAGGAATAAAACTTCAGTACACAAGAACAAGATTGTTTCAAATTTTATTACTTGTGGGTTGGGATTTATATGGGCTAACCTTTGGCAACAGTGTGTAGGATTTTGTGAAGCTTTCAGCAATAAAGCGAGCAAGGAAATGTTATTGCTTAAGCACTGATGCCAAGAGTGGTAAGTGATCAAATGGACACAGAATGTGGTCAGTTTTCCTTTCAATCCATAATGTGGACCATGGGAGGTTCTCCATACTTTGCAGAGAACCCTGAAATTGTATATCCTTTTTACCACAAAACATTTTTCACAGCAGCATTATTAGATATCTGTAAGGAACCTGAACAGTTTTTTCTGACGGTAATTATAACTGCACTTATAATTCCACTTGATTTCTTAGATCACAGCCCCATTAGAATCACATCCAAATACCTTTGTGCAGTTTATCTCCAACTCTGTAAGTTGCACATATTGAAGGTCCAATAGAGGACTATTGCCATTTCTCTTTCTATTCCAGCAGTATTTAAACATGAAACCCTGTATATGTATATAAGGTAGCATCAATAAGTAAATAAACAAAATACTGAAAATGAACCATCATACTGGTCTTGTGATTGAGACTAAAAATGGAAGCATCCGAAGCATCACTAACATACACTGATTTTTTAATCTAAATATTTAAGGACTTAACAAGTCATTGAAAAATGAAATGTCAGAGAATTAAAGAACAATGCCAAATATATCTTTTAAAATTCTCATTAAGTCTCCCCAGTCATATTTCAAAAGATTCTAAATATTTATGACTTTCTAAACTATTGGTCATGAATTAATCATTTGGTACACAACTATTTCCACAAGTTGCTTTGGTAGTGCAGTGACAGATAAAAAAAAACAAAACAAAACACAAACTTAACAGAAGTTTCATTTCATCTATGAATGAGTTAACAAAGGAGGAATGCAGATACCTAACTGCACAATTTGCAGTCATTTCTGAAAGTGGTGTGTGTAGCAGAGCGGGAAAAACAAAGATGGAAAACCTGCACATAAAAATGCATCAAACTGACATATTTTGGTGTAGACTAAGCTCGGGTGTAAACCCCATCTCTTTCCCTCTCAACAAAAAGACTGAGCTGTTCCCATGCCAGGAATTTCCTGCAAATATCTCATGTACAACACAGCCTCCTCTTCCACCTCTTGGCTCTCTAAGCTAGACTTGCTAAAGAATGAGAACTCCTAGAAGGCCTCCTGCTGTCGGGAGCATGAATCTGAGTACTGCCAACCAGCAGAGGTGAACTTGAAGGATACGCATTGACTGAACAGTACTGTCACCAGTGTCAGCTCACATTCAATGTAGACCTGGCTCCATTCAAATAAAACAGTATTGGGAATTTGAAAGCAGAAAAAACAGCAAGGGCTGGGGAAAAAATAATATCTACGCGTGGTTCAAATATTCTGGTTACAGTGGACCAGGAGTGGGGTCTAGCATGGTTTAAGGTTTATCATTATCACAGGAGAAGAGCTGAATATGGGGGCAGGACAGATACTTGAACAAAAAGCCTGGCCAGAAGCATGAAGTAAAGAACCTGCTGCAGATCTGTGATAGATATAAGGGAGGAGGTGTTTCTTAGAAATGATTAAAACCTGAGAAAGTTCAAAAAACATCACAAAAGGTAAATAAGTTTTCTAGTCATGTGAAGTGAAAAAAAATACCCAAGCAGGTACATATGCCATGCAAGCCTACATGCAACTAAACCTGTATCACCTTCCTCTCTAAGTTTCTAAGAAAACTCTTTTCATCTGTATTAAAAAAAGAAAAAATATTATTTTCAATTAGATATGAATGTATTTATACAGCTTTTATCAGAGCAATCTACAGGCAACAGTACATCCTTTGGCTGGTGCTTCATCAAGGCATCTCCCCCTTCCCAATTTATCAGAGTTAGTCATTCTAGCGACTAAAGGTATTATTTTGTCATATAAATGACACTGTAACATCCACTGCAGCATTCCAGAAGGGGGAACATTTAATTTTCATTTTGACCAAAACAACTCTCTACTGCAATAGCTGACAGTGATGCTTCTCAGATGGCAAGATCTGTGAAGAAAATTTATAAACAGCTAATACAGAACTCACATCAACAAAATTACACATCTAGAACTCTGATAATTGCCCCACACTGAAGTGAATAAGAGATAGTGTCTATCATGCTGTGAAAAAATAAAAATAAAAAACATTAACCCCCCCCCCAAACCTCTTTCAAAAACAATGCTTCAGCTCCAACACAGGCTTGCATGAGTGACTGATGCTGATGAGTAGCAGATAGTTCTGACAGAGGCACTGCCTATTTTTTTCCCCAGAAGTTTTAATTATGTTCTTTAAATTCAGAGATGTGACATGAAGATCTGAATGAGACACATACCCACAAGTAAACCACTGAAGTTAAAGGATTAATCTGTCTTTTACTACAGTGGTTTTACTTCAGGACATTATTTTTTCCATTTATGATGTTGCCATATTGACAATAGCTCCATCTCCAGAAAGTGGTAATAATTCCAGCCACCTTTCAACAAGGGAAAAGAAACAGCATTAATGATGAAGGAAAACAACCTTCATCTATACAATCAGAAAGAGTGAACACTGTTTAATCCAATGGAAATTTTGGTAAAGACTTAAAGTACACCTAGATTATTGCCAGAAGAGCCTTCAATATTTATTTTATAAACCAGAAGTTGATTAGACATAGTTGAGCTTTAGGAAATCTGAATCCAAATGCTCATTGGCCCAAAACAGTATTGTCCTGTCTTGATTTCTGCTTTTTGTATGTTTTCATGTGCTCTATTCTCAGTAATGTCAGGGGTGACAATGGGGAGGTGCGTCAGATAAAGAAACAGAAACACCAGAGCTGGATTAAACTTTATTTCCTAATATTTACTTTTCTGAAGAATAAAGATATCAAAAGTCAACTGCAAATGAATACAACATGGAATCTTACCAAAGGAAAGGAAAAATAAGGAACAAATGAAAACTACTCTGCTGGAAATTCTATTGTATCTGAACATACTTTTTCTATTAATTACTTTATTAATTAGCTTTCCCTCTTTGGCCACAAAGTAGCTGTCTTATAAAGATATGAATGTTTGTGTTTGGGGGTTTTTTATTTGTTCTTTGGTTTGATTTTTTTTTAATTAACAAATATAAATTGATTCACACTTCACTGAGGACCCAATTCCCAGCTCAAGTGTGGTAAGCACCAGCAATTCATGGAATGTAATGGCCAGTGACGTACAGGGGGTCAGTCCATGATCTCATGGTCTCTTCTGGCCCTAAGCTCAAGGTCTCTATTACACACTTATCCGGCTAATGTCCTTGGAAGTGAACTTTATTTCCATTTTAATGCAGAACTACAAGATCTTGTTAGAGACCATACACACATCTGACAAAGTTGGAAGGTAACAAAAGAGAACGCTCATCATAATAAAATGCAGCTGCATGAAGAAATATTTAAAGTAAAAGTGCACACTGTTAAAATAGTGTGGTAGACAATCCTTTTATTAAATTAGCCAAGAAAAAAATTGGAGCCTTTACAAGGCAGCAGAACAGTTTAGGGTTAATCTTATTTCCGTCCAGAGAGAGAGCAACAGCAAGCGTGTGCACAGGCATACACACGCTACGGTGCATACAGCTACAATATTGTAGCATGAAGGGTCATTTACAAGATCTGCACATCCTGATGCAGCTACAAGGAGCACACATTACAGTACTGGAGCACTGAATCAATTAACCCTCTCTGGCTGCTTTCCAGCCAAACACCCCCCCCTCATTTACTTGCCTGCTTTTCAAGCACTGGAGCTGAAAACACTGAAATGAGTCAATCAGCAAACAAGGGTAGCAGCAGACTGGGAGCTTCACTAATGAGAAGAGAAAACTGCGCACAGACTCTGCTAATCACTTAAGTAAAATCGTCCAAATGATGGAAGAGAAAGGACAGCAAAAAAAAAGAACACAACCTTATTTCTATCTTTTTTAAATGTGGCAAGATTTATTATTCTTCTCCATTCAAGAGCTGGAGAAAATACCTGGATAAGAAATACAGTTTTCCCAAAATACAAATTCTTCATCTTGGTACCAGAAGAAACAAGTGCCAATGAAAAGTACACAAAAAAGACAAGTTTTAGAAAAATTATAAAAAACAAAACCAAATCAACAACTTGCTTTCCAGAAAGTAATGAAAAATCTCATCTTAAAATCCACCAGGTGATGAAAAGGATTACAAAGGATCTTCCTGGATACAAAGTGAACTCTACTAAAATGCAAAAGAAAGAGGTAAGGCTTTCTTCACCTGAAAATTGCAGCACATGACATCTTCTCGGTAACTGAGCATTTGTTCAGCTTAACACCGTGAAAGCTGTTAAACTCTTCAGCAGAGTTGAGGGACAGAGAGAGGGAGAGAAAAGGTTGTACTTAATAAAAGCCCTGCTCAGATTACAAAAACAAGTGGTTTACTCACTTCCCCCCCTTCAAGTAATGGGTAAATTTAGATGTCTCAGTTTCATAAATCTTCACGGTCCCCTTGAGACTGTCACCAGTGTTTTACTATCTACAGCTTCCTGACCCTCATCTGATAAATCAGGAACCATAAAGATTAAAATGGAAACCTCATACATAATTTCTGAAGATATTTTTGAGGTGACCCTCTGTGGAGAAACAGGATTCTTAATAAGGGGAAATATGGGAATTGCCGTCTGCCTACGCACACGCTGCTGGAGAGTAGACACTTGGGAGAGGAGGAGTTGCATATACACAATGTGAGCATCTGCCTTCGAATCAGTTTGTACTTACAAAGAGCAGATCTACATGCGCTGTACCTAAAGGGAACCATTTGGCATCCAAATTAATCTATTACTTTTTACTGCTGTAGAAAGGAAAGAAAAGAGGGGGAGTAGCTAATGGACTGCTTTCTTTTCACAGCTACTGAATTTTCTCCTATAATCCGAAACCTGAACCTGGGAGACCAGACCACTGAACCCTGCCAAGCAGAGATGGACATAAAACAAGACTTTCATTTTTAAGACTTAATTGCACCTAGCAAGGCACATGATAAAAAAGTTGGAAACGAGCTCAGAGATGGTTACAGTATCTCAAAACAGCAGATGACTAGTTTACCATACTGACCATGCTGGCCTTTCTGCAGGACCATCCTGGACCAGAGAGGAACAGTGAACTCCTACACCGGATGCAATTCCTTTACAAAATACAGCTCCTGAATACATTCTGCTGGACACAAAAATGTCCTATCCTTCACATTTCCTGAACGGGTCTGGAGCTGGCAATGAATCTTTGTCGCCTCTCTCAGTAACGGGAGAACCCAAGCAGGACTACCCAAGTGAGGAACAAGGAAACAAAGTGCGTTGGGCAGCTTTACTGATCCTCCTGGTGATAATCCCTACAATTGGGGGGAACATACTCGTCATACTGGCAGTGTCTCTGGAGAAGAAGTTACAATATGCTACCAACTACTTTTTGACGTCCTTGGCAGTGGCAGATTTGCTTGTGGGTCTATTTGTGATGCCGATTGCCCTTCTCATGATCTTATTTGGTAAGTACAGCATGTTTATTTCATCAGGATAGCATATGGGGTACAGTTTGGGGAGGTCTAATTTAAACAGAAAAACTATTTGCTTTCCACCATTACCATTTTTAAAATCCCTTGAATGAGGGCTGCTAAATCTCTTCTTCTGCCCAACTTCATATAGTTTAATGTCTTTACGGCAAGTATAGCCACTCTGGATATTTTTTCCTTTGAAACAAACAATTCAAGAATCACCTGAGACTTACAATTGATGCTAAATTGGAGCTAGACATGGGAGATCACGTTGTGAACAGTGTAATATTATTTTTAGCAACATCAGCACAATCTTGGCATCTGTTCTATTCAATATTACACCAATTGCAGGCAGTTTTCTCTTAAAAAAATGCTAAATGAAAACTAGGTATCTGTTCAGTACACTGAACAGGTTTTGAACTTTTTATGAGTCAGGCACCTGATTTTACCTTCGTATTGACTCAAAGCTCCATGAGCAGTTAGAGATGGCTCCTGGCAGCAACAGTGACAACAAACTTTACCAGTACCACTTTCAGGTAAATCGATTTTCTCCCACCCTGGGGAAAGTGGCAAGCTCATAAAGCATCCCAAAGAATTAACTTATCTGTCAAGCCAAGGAAGCTTCAATCCATGAATGTAACATTTCAGGCTTAGATTTATCACCTAGTCTGGCTCATATGGAATAAAGTAAGTATTTTTTTAATATGAGCATACATCATCTGTGACATTTTCTCTCTGGTTAGTCATTACAGAACAAGCATGACTCTTCATATTCTCTCATGTCCAGCTTTATTTCAGATATTGCTTCTGACAACTAACCAGAGGCAGCTCCATGGTAAAGTCTCTCTCTTTTACTCCTAAACTTCCTTTAAGAATACATTTTCAGTGGTCTATTTTCATACCATACAACTAAAGAAAAAAAATCAACTAGACTTTTTTTTAATAAACTTAGGGATTTACACAATTATCTTTAAGGTATAGATACCACTGGACTCTAAAAAATGAAAGGCTGCAGCAGTTCATTTTTAATATTCTGGATCTCTAAGAGTTACCCAAGTAACAAAAACACAATAAGAAACTTTATTTCAGAAAGGCTTTTGTTTGCTGCAGAAGACTGGTATAACTTTATTAACAAATGTGATTATTCAACTAAATGACAGAAGTATGAAGTGGAGGTCAGAATTCAGTGCTGAAATAAAAAAAAACAGTCTTTTTTCAAGCAAGTTTCTAAAAAGAAAAATTGACATACATGACCAGGACAGTGATTTATAACTTGAAAAAAACCCAGTCACTTACAGAAAACCTTGGTATGTCATTATGTGTATGTGTGTGTAGAGGCAAGAAACAGATATGTACAGACATACACACTGATAGTGTTACTGCTTAGTTCCTGCCAAAGGCCACATTAATAATAAAATGACTAACTATAAAAAGTACTAGTATTGGAGTAGCAATCAATACAAAGAGAAGGCAAGTTCCAGATTTGGTGGTGGTGGAGGTTTTTGGTTTGGATTTTTAAAACTTATTTTTGGATTTTTAAAACTTATTTTATTTTTTGCTAGACTACTGAATCTTTTCCTTTTAACTTTATAAAGGGGCTATTGCTCCTTAATCTCTCAATTAATCCCATGCTAAACCCTGGTTACAACAGTTTAAAACATGCTAGGAATCTTAATTTAAATGTAAAACAAAGGTATCTTTCGTGTTGCAGGAAATTTACTGGAGAGTAGCAAAATTAGTTATAACTAAGACTGCAACCAGCCTTTCACAGAGCAGTGGTTAAAACTGAAATTTCTTGCATACAAGTCTCTTTTTGGCAGCCAACCAAAGAAACTGCTTTGCTTCTTCACTGACTGGGAGAAGATGCTGAGGTGTTTATAGAAGTTCAAAGCATGAGCAAAACATGAGGATTTACTGGAATGAAGCTAGAACAGACATTTAAATACATAACAAGTCTAAATCTTGAAGCTACATTAGCCGGCCAACCACTTGAATGTAAAAAAAAATCACTGATACCCAGAGAGCAAACTCCTGGCACTTCCACACAGAAATGTCTCCATAATAAGGAAATAGCTGGATGCAGCTTCTAGATACAGAATACAAGTATTATGCTTCTGATTTGGGACTGATATCTAATTATGTGGAGAATATTTGAGGGAAAAGGTGTGAACCAAAGTGCAGTCATATTAAATGATCTTGACTGTTAAAACTAAGCACAACGTGTTCAAATTCAAAGCTTACTGCAGATATTGGCTCCATGCCCTCATGGTACGCTTGAAGAAAAGTCTTCAGAAATAGGCAGACTGTAATAAAGAGCTGCCCCTTTTAAAGATAAATAAACAAACCTGTAACTCACACTCACAGGTATCATACCATGAGCAGAATATTTATTTTCAGTAGAGTGACCAAAATGTACTCTGGTACAAATATGCACTGCAATTTTCATTTAGGAGTGTGACTGTCAGGATACACAAACAGTCCACTGCTTTTATTGCTTGCTAAATTCTCATTTCTTCCAAAAAAAGAGGGCATGTTAAGAAATAACTGCATCCTCTGAAACCTAGCTTTCAAGAGTTACCTACAATTCTAACACTGAGAACTACTAAAGAAAACAAAAAATGTTGCTACTGATTGCATAGCAAAAATAGCAAATAAATTGGAGAAACCCTCTCATTTGCAAAGCCTGCAGCAGGAAGAAGTCTGTTGACCACAGCTTGGTAGGCAATGGGTTCCTTGGACACAGTGCATGTACCATACTTTAAAATAGAAATTTTTAAAATATAAAATATTCCTGATGTTTATCCACTTAAAAATCAGGAGGTGATGCTGATCATCCTAGGTTGCAAACCATCATTTTTAAAATCTATCACATGCAATCATCATCTTAATCTTCACCCATTACTGATGATGAACCATAGCAAATCTTCCCTTCTTGCTTGTGCAAACTACCAGAGAAAACTTCCTTATTGAGAGCTACTTTTCAAAATCCCAAATCTAAAGATAACTAAGAAAATAAAGGTTGGCTTGTCACAAAACAACTAAAAAAAAAAACCAAAAACAAAAACAAAAACAAAAAAACCCACTTCAGCTAAATTTAAAAAACTACATGACAGTGAACAACTGTTGAAAATGTAATGGTAACAGAGAAGCAAAGGCAGGCAGCCACAGGGGTGAAGCAAGACAACAGCCAGGCCTGCGCAGTCCACAAAGCAGAATACTGACCCGAGGATGAACACCACACATGCATGATGCAGACACACACCCCCCAATCTGAAGACTGAAGCCTAGGCTTAAGTCAGCTAGTGATTAAAAATATCCAATTTCAGTAAAAGCATCATTATCTAACAGCAACAAAATCCTATAGAGGGAACATGCTTCAGCATCCTATAACAAAATCATAGAATGGTTGGGTTGGAAGGGACATTAAAGATCATAAAGCCCTGTGAGGATATGAGGCAACATTTGTAGGAAGGAGGAATATTTTTCTATCTTACACTACATGACAGTTGGAGAAACCAGACAAGCTTTCAGCCAGGCACATTTGTCAGGTAACCATGGCATTTAAAAAAATTTACTAAAAAAAAACCCAAATCCAACCCACTAGCTTGCTTAAATCAGCATTTCAATTCTGAAGGAAAAAGGTGGAGATTCTCAGCCCAGTAAATGCTCTGGTATGCTCCAACAGTCTGGATCTATACTAGGAGAATCAGAATTTCTAACTATCCAAACTAGGCATGACCTGCTAATGGCTTTCTATTGCCACCTAGCAGGACATACTCATTTTATTTTCCATCTGAATTATAAAGCAAGACAACAAACAAGCAGGTCATCATCATGTTCAAGGGTCAGACATGCTTTGAGTTCTGAGAGGGGAAATCAATATTCTAACTACCAAAGTAACAGAATAGGCCAACAGTGATACCACTATTGCTAGGAAAGCACAAAATCTCAGCTCAGAGCAGTCCCTCAAACACTAGGCACAGAGCTAACACAGGTTTAACCAACCTGTGTAAAATCAAAATAAGTAAAAGCAAAATACACCACAGTATGAATCCTAAATAACTATGTGGCTTTCTGGACTTTAAGGTACCAGTTTCACAACATTTAGTTGAAATAATAACTGTATTCTTCAATTCTTATTAGCTACCTCATTTAAAGTCTACTTTGATTTTGTTTGGATAAAAAACATGATCACAGACACAAGCATAATAGTACAGAATGCTATAATCATGAATGTGATAATCTACCACCTCCTGCACCCTGTTCAAAACAATACAAAAAAATAAAGACAAAACTCTCTTCAGTTGCACTTAGCAACTAATGAAAGCTCTTAAAACTCATAAAAACATACAAGGTTGCTTTGCACCAGATTGCTGTTTACATGCATCTATATTTAAAAGAAGGAAAAGAGCTTTTTGTTGCAAAATATTTGAGGGTTTTCTTATGAAAAGAGTAAATTAACTGGGAAAAAAAATAAAAAAAGATGAATTTATCACTGCAATTCATCAAGAAGCAAAGCAGTTATAATCCCGGGAGCAGCATGTAGAGTACTCTCCAACAGAAATACTGCCTGCTTATTTGAAATCCAGCTGTTATCCTGCCATATGATTAAATACGAGTAGGGGTTTCATAATATACTAATTACAACTTCCTCCTACCTGTCTGACACAACAATTTTTTGAAGCACAATTTCAACCATGATAGCTATTTTGGGAAATATGCAGCTAGAACTAAAATTTACTGGTTAATGCTTTGAATATAGAATGCCTCTTTCCCTGCTGCCTCACTGCTTATGCCATCCTCCCCTGCTTTGGGGGTGGATGAGGTTTGGTTCAGGGCTCCATCCATCCATTTTCTTTGTTTTTACAGGCGAAGTTTCCCAACATAGGGAAGAATGCAGACAAGTATGTGCTATGTCTGACTTCATAAAATTTTCCATTCTATGAAGTTTTTAATTCAAGTCAAGGCAGCATCATTATAATTTTCACCAATCAGTTACACCATGTTTTATCTCAAACTACTGCAACATTACCACATTGATAAGACTGAGCATTAAACAGTCCAGCTCGTTTCGCACTCTCAGCATTGCAGATCTATTTATTCAGAGCAAGATTAAAAACAATCAGATTAGCTAGAAATGTTGGTTGTTTTTTTGGTTTGGGGTTCTGTTTTTTATTTGTCCTTTAATCATCATTCAAGTAAGAACTGATTTCTCTGGCAATATTATTACTGTACCTACTGATGGAGTACAGCTGAATTTTAACAGGAAGGACTATATAGTACATCAACTTCTACCATTAGAAACACAAAAACCTTCTATGTTCATACTTTCTTCCCTAGGACTACAGGACATTCTTACAGACACACAACACTAATGTGCATTTCAAACTGGACACTGCTAGCACTGTACTGCAATGAAAACTGCTTGTGAATTAATATAAACCCGTTAAAAAAAAACCCAACCAGAGTTTCATTACAGTTCACTTGGTTTGGTATTGTAAACTTTGGTAGGGGAGACCCAGCTCCCAAAACTACAAGCTTTTTGAAAAGTTTAACACTACAAAACCACAATGCATTTGACAGATGCTAGGTTCACTATAGATTAACATTAAAGACAGATAACTACTATAAGAAGCAGTATGCCATACTGAAAATCCAAGCCATCACTTTGGCAAGGGGGAGGGGGAAGATGCACAAGAAAGCCCTTCAGTTTTTATAAAATCATTACTGGGACAGAATAGCCCTGCTTTGCCACATTAGTGCTCAACTGCAGCTGGCCAAGGGACACAGCAAACTCATTTTAAAACGATGTGAACTAAATTCTCCAAGATCACCAACTAAGATTCAATCAAGTTTCTACAATGACTGAGTAATACGCTGGTTATGACCCATTACCTCCTCCATCTAATACAACCCTGAATCATAAGACTATCAAAGAGACATAGCTGAAAATAATAACAGCAGGGCACAAGGACCAAGCACAGTCATAACCCACTTTTTAAAAACTTTTTTATCCAAAGTCCTTGCCACAAATACCTTATGATCTAAAAAGGACAAAAGACAGGAAAAGGCTTAATATACCAGCAGCCTGATTAATACGATGGCAGCAATCATGCCAGTTAGGAGCTAACTAAAATGTAAGACAGAATCCAGCTGAGGCAGTGGCAAAGCTCATCTCCTGTAGTATTGTGAACTTCTCAAAAGAACTAACAGCCAAGGGAAAACCACACACTGAAAACTCTCAAAAACCTTAGATTCTAATGAGTTTTCTGTTTTCTTTCAGACAACGCCTGGCCTTTACCAACTGCCTTGTGTCCTATCTGGCTGTTCCTTGACGTCCTCTTTTCCACAGCTTCCATCATGCACCTCTGTGCCATCTCACTTGACCGCTATATTGCAATTAAAAAGCCAATCCAGGCTAGTCAGTACAATTCATGGGCTACAACAGTCATCAAAATCGTCGTGGTTTGGCTCATTTCAATAGGTGAGACTTGGAACTGGAAAAGGAATGCAGAAGCTTTTCACATCCAAAACAATGGGTGACTGCTGCTCAAAATGGAAACTCTGGCCAAGTACTATTGATTAGCAGACCCTAACATCTGGGCTGGCCTAAGTCCACCTCTTAGATCGTGCATAGCTACACCACAAGAATTTGCCTCAACCACCACTCCTTATCAGGCTTACCCTACTCAATCGTACCTTTTCTTCATGGTCTTAAAAGTCCAAAGATCAGAAGACAATAACTGCATGCATAGTATGTCTTCTGGGAAAGCAAGCGTTTATGTTCCTGTGGTAGTATATTCTGTCCCAAACACAGTTTAAAGACTTGAGTAGATGCTGCTAAAATCTGTACTTCACAATTTTCCCATGAAGCAAGTAAAAAAAGGCTAATTACTTATATCAAAGACTGAAAGATAAATGAGTGGCTGGTAACGTTCACACTGAAGACTGAGATGCACTGGCAATACAGCATATAGAAAGGCTAACTTCTAAGCAAAAAAAAACAAAACAAAACCAAAAAACCAAACACACCCTGAAGAGTTTATATAAAGGAAGCCAATGAATAAACTTTTAAATTAGCACCTCTGTGATGTGCACCTGCCTTTAAGGACTGAAAATAAAAAAAAAAAAAAATCTGTTAAATGAGCTAAGGAAGTGAAAACATTTAATTCACATAACCTAATGTACACTGCAGGCAGCCATAGGCACAGTGCTGTATGCTCTGTGTGCAAGAGAAAGAATAGAATTATTCTGTGTTGCTAAAGCAAATGATTCATGGTAGAATGGATACATCCACCATCTTGGCCAAGGTATACATGCCTAAACCCAAAAAGTCTAACTTCAAAAAAAATTCGGGAAGAACCGTGATGATAGGAGAAAAGATGCTATCTTTATTTTTTCATTAAAAAAAAAAACAACCAACCAATCAAAAACCTGTTAGCATGACAAGACACTTACAAATTGACCTTTTAATGCCTGGTTTGTTGTTAGTAATCAGTGCTGTACTTTTTCATTTCCTTTTTATCTGACACAAAAGCATTCTGCAGCTGAGCCAGGGTTCTCCAAATCAAAGGTTAATTTGGCTCAATTCTCACTTTAAATCTTTGCTGTATCTGAAGGTGTGCCTCTTATTAAGAAAGGGATCAAGTGGCTGAAGAGCTTTTTTTTGCTCTTGCTGCCTTCAACTTTAGTAAGCAGAGTAGCAGAGGAATATAGCAAATGCCTACATCTCATTAAGCAGTATCAGGAAACATAGCACAATAACCTTCACCGGGCAGTAAGGAAGCTGTTGTTTTTGTTGCAATGTCAGACTGCTGGCAAACAAAGTGCTGACTGCAATTTAGTGGTTATAAAAAATTCATTTAAAAGACAGGACTGATAACTTTTTTTATATTTTTTTAAGAGTGGTGAATTACAGAACTAGCTGGTCTCATTTAAACACTCCTAAATATGCAAGAGACTTTAAACAACAAATCCATCTTAAAACACACCCTGCATAATTCTGGCAACTATTTAACTACTTGTACATATGAAAGAGTCAAGGCAGGGTGAAAAAAAAAATAAAAAAAAATCAGCTGTGTCCAGTAACTTGATGGGGTTAAGATAAGAAGCAAAGACAAGATTCATGTGTTTATCAAACTGCCCTTCAAAAACTGCAAAGGTTACCCCAGGGGAAAGGGGGGTGGAAGCAGGTGGCATTAGGGAAACACATTTCACTGGAGGAAAAGCCATACTAATTCTAACAACTACAGTCAAAACAATTAATGTTTTTTACACTTGAGAAGTTGGCAACTTTATACTGCTTCCTCAATCAGTAAAGGTTAGGCCCAATCTCCTTAGAAAAGGCACTCCATTACAGCTGAGGTTGCCAAGTCTTAAAGAGTACTATTTGCCCAACTACACACATGATGCTCTCAGTTCTCTGTCACTCTGTGCCAGCTCCAGAGCTCAGGAACTACCTTTCTTTAGATACCCTGAGGCTTCAGGCCCAAAAAAGATGGCAAGCGATTACCACATGCTGAAGTACTTTGTTCTTCTCCTGCAGGAATTGCTATTCCAGTCCCTATCAGAGGCATTGAAGATGGAAATGGCAACTCTACAAACATCACATGTGCCCTGATGCCTGATCGTTTTCATGACTTCATTCTGTACGGATCAGTGGCTTCATTCTTCATTCCCCTCGCTATCATGATAGTCACTTATTTTCTGACAATCCAAGTGCTACGCAAGAAGGCCTACTTGATCAACAAGCCACCTCACCGTTTCACATGGTCAACAGTGTCCACAGTATTTCAGCGTGACACAACATCTGCCTCCTCACCAGAAAAGGTGGCCATGCTAAACAGCTCCAGAAAAGACAAGACTTTGTCCAATGACATGCCAATCTGCAGAACATCCACAATAGGGAGGAAGTCCATGCAAACAATAACCAATGAACAAAGGGCGTCAAAAGTTCTGGGGATTGTATTTTTTCTTTTCTTGTTGATGTGGTGCCCATTCTTCATAACAAACGTAAGTTCAGTTCTGTGCAACTCCTGCAACCAAGAGATTTTTCAAAAGCTTATGGAGATATTTGTTTGGATAGGATATGTATCCTCAGGAGTGAACCCTCTTGTCTATACACTATTCAACAAAACATTTAGGGAGGCTTTCAGCAGGTATATCACTTGCAACTATCGGACCACAAAGTCTGTCAAGGCCCTTAGAAAACATTCCAGCAGCATCTCTTTCAGAAGCTCTGTGACAGAAAATTCCAAGTTCTTTGTCATGCATGGGATGAGAAATGGGATTAACCCCATTATATATCAGAGCCCAATGAGGCTGAGGAGCTCACCCATCCAAGCATCATCAGCCATTCTGCTGGATACATTGCTGCTCACAGAGAATGAAGTTGATAAAACAGAAGAACAAGTCAGCTACGTATAGTGGAATGCAGCTGTCTGTATCACAGTGTTACTGTATGTATTGTTCTAGGTAACAACACATATGTACTGTAAGATGGTATAAATACTATTGTTTTCTGTTATTTATGCAAGCAACACCTTACAAATTTATATTAATTCCTCTCCTCCAAAGTCTCCCCTATTTTAACCCCAACCCCATGGTGGCACTCACGGCTTCATTCCATGATAAATGACTGATGCAGAACTGTAGCCAACAGGAAAAGGGAAATAAATAAAAGCTAAACCAATCTGCATATCTGACTTCAGTTCTCACTACCCCCAGTCTCTTCAAAGTACATTTTTATAAGAAAAGCATCTCTGTACAAACACTAACATTTACTCTGACAAGAAAACAGAACATTCTGTAGGTTGATGCTTTATGATGAAATTAGCAAGGGGATACAAGCATGCTTGTTTTAATTTAAATCCACCTTTACTCTGTGTAAACAGAACAGCACATACACTCACTGCGTTACCTTCTACAGACATATTCCTTTGCTGAGACTGTGTATCCAAGTATGAGCTTTTCTTGTTCTCTATGTGTATGTGTATCAGAAGCAGAATCACTTGCTCCAGAGACCAAAAGGTGTCCATTTCATTTCCAGGTGAAACTGTTTCTTAGCAGGGTGAGCAAATTTCCATGTGCTGAAATTGTCCCTTTGTTGTTTTACTGTAGGGGTATGTAGAATCTTTTACCCACCTGAATTTCATCTGCATTACTCTCACATACAAATATGTCTGGTATTGTTATATTTGTCAGATGTTTTCATACTAAGAAAATGAGAGCATTTAACCATAACAGGACAATACCACATCAGTGATCATGAGTAAACCAGGACAGGCAGTGCCTGGAACTTTCCTTTAATTTAGATGGACAAACTTCCTTTTTTACAGCCCTTGGAACATCAGTGAAAGCCTTCCCTTATCTTATATAGTTCACACAAAGTAGAAAAATCACAGATAGAATAGCTATTGCACTTGAAAATAAGAGCAAGTGTTTAAGAGACAGCAGAGATGGCAGTACTATCCACACCTGCACACATTTGCAGTTTAGCTTAGCTCAGAATAATTTCACTGGACTAATGGCATAAGATTGTAGGTCCCAATCTGCACTCTCTCAAACATGCTCAAGCCTTTCATCAGAGCATCAAATTCATACATAGAATCACTCATCACAATCCATAAAAGTTACCAGAGTCTAGCATCTGTGAAATGAGGAGCTTCTGACAGTTCCAGAACATCTTTCTTTGGGAAGGCAAATCAGATTTCCCCAAAGTACTGGAGTTCTCACAGTAAGCAGCCAGCTCACCATTTTTTCCCAATAGTTCCCCTTTACAGTAACATTTTTAGCTGGGTCTTTGTTTTCATTTTTAGTGTTTTCAGAACCCTCTAGTTACAAACTAAAATTATGTACAGAAAAAGGCTTAGTTTTTTTCCTCCTCAGAACAGAAAGTATGAAAGATAACGTCCTTCCAACATTTATTTGCATATATTTAATTTAGAACATATGCATACCTGATATGGAGCCTAATGTAAAAACTGCCATGGGAGTCCCAGAAGAAATTACTAAAAATACTTCTGTGTTACTTACTATAAGTTGTCTTCTTCCTACCCTTTTGGTGATAGTCACTAGTCACTTAAGTAAGAAAAAGCTCTAACTGCTCTTACACCTCTTTTTGTTAAAATTTGTTTAAGGGGGTCCTGTAGTTAAAGCCAGAATTGATGGACTGCTATACTTGTAAAAGATACCTACATCTAAAAATATTTGAGAATCAAAAGCCTTATTAAGACCTAGACTACTTGAAGCTCAAGGGGTGAGGGAGTAGGAATAAAATGAACCCCCCAAAGTAAGGCCTCTCAGTAATCAGTGGTTAGACTACACTAACAGGAAATGACCCTTGAAAAAGTCTCACTTGGCAAAGATCTATTTTGTGAAGCCGGCATATAGATTTCTCAGTTTTAGTAACCATATAAAGAAACATGTTCCAGTTATTGAATATAGTCAGCAATAATAAACCTCAATCCAAAGGACTAGTGACTCATCAAAAATCCAGTCTTCCTACAAAGAAAGGAAATTTCTCCATGGACAGAAAAACATGCACATTCCATTTAACATAACAAGTGTAAAAAGAAATTGCTTGTCTACTGAGAAAGCAAACAAGTGAAGAATTCAGGTAACAGTCTTGGAAAGCATGAGGACAGAGGGAGAAGAAAGATGATGAGAAGATGCAGAACTATGAAATAAAGACAATATAACAGACAGCAGAGATCTTGTTTTAGCAACTGTATCTACAAGAACAGATTTGAGCAAAGACATTACCTTCATTAGCAAGACATGATTGAAAATAAGAGAGTCACTGCAAGCTACTGTAAGAAAGCACAAGTTTGTTGTACAGTAACTAAGGACAACACTGCTCGTGTGGTACTGACAAGCAAGATGGGAAGCTCAGGACTACATCCACGGGCATCATCTTTAAGCAACACAAATTTATAAGGCATTCCTTTCTCTGAAGTAAGATGCTCTCAATTCTTCCAGAACCTGGCCCATGACAAACCAATCATGTGGCCAGCTCTGTGGCCTCAATGTACTACATAAAAATAGTAACTTATACAGTTACCTAGTTTAACTTTCCTCATTATCATAGAAGCTTTTATCTGGCATATTTCATTTCTGTTTAAACTACTAGAGAAGCAAGACAGACAAGAGTAAAAGCTGATCTGCAACACACAAGCACTATGGGAAGAAACACATTTTAGAAGAGCAATGGACAAGTATGAAGTTTTTTTTTTGTTGTTGTTTCACTAATACATTAGGAGATATTTAATGTTCTGGCTGCCTATCCAATTAAAAATTACAGCACAGACATGGACATAAGGATTACCTATAAATGTACCCACCTTAGCAGCCTTGAAGAGAGGAAAACAATGGAGTTCGAAGCCTAACAGTATTCAAGTGTCTTGAAATGAAAATAAAGGGAATATCATAAAGAAAAAAAAAAAACCACCACCCCAAAAAAACAAGCAAAACCAAACAAAATCCCAACCTTTAAACCACTCTATGAAACAGAGAAGCCAGAAATTCAGCTAATCTCAACTGTGCTGATATAAAACACGTTTTGTGGAACCAGTCCCAAATCATCTGGGGGATTAAGCTGCAAGACCCTTTCGTGGTATGGTTTAGTGTGAGGTGTCCCTGCCCATGACAGGGGAGTTGGAACTAGATGATCCTAAGGTCTTTCCAGCCCTAACCATTCTATGATTCTAAGAAAATTTTTAGGCAGCCAGAAAAATGTATTCATCACTTATCTTGCATTCTCCAAATGTAAAACTTTCCTAATCACTTCACATCTTCCCATACTCGTATTGATTTCAAATGCATCAAAATACAGTTTAAAAATCCAGTGTTAAGCAGAGGACAAGAGAATAGAGACTGATGTTATAAAGCTGTTCACTAGCATACAAGAGGCATGCTGATTTTTTTATGCTGCTTCATAGAAAATGTAATTTTCCTACACCATTTTCTTACTGTGGAAAAATCCACAGCACTTCAGGCTGGTATGAGAAAGCAAAAGGATTACTCCCCTAAATCTTTTTCTAGGCTGTCATATGTAACTTCAGCCTTAAAAGGTAAAGTAATGCAAGCACAGTAAACCTGGCAAATACATACTGAACAACCTGGTACTCTGGAGCCAAAAGAGACAGGACATTCACCAGAGCTCCTCTGGCTCTTTGCATTGGAAGTTGGAGGCAAGAGTCCCAGAGTTCTGGCCAGTTCTCAGCACTGACTTAATACTACCATGAAACATTAGATTTCTTTCATGACATTGATAAAAATGCCTACGTACAACTGTTAAGAAGCACTTCTTTGTTTCACTTCCCCTTTGGCTCTCTAGGTAACTATCAACATGGTAAAAACAGCAGTCAGGAGAGAAGTAACTTCCCTATTTCTGCTTTGTTATTTGACATCATGTTGTTTACTGTCACTGTCCATTCCCCTGGGACACACTGTTTTCTCCAGTAGCAAAGGAAGGTTTTTGCCCTGCAGGAGAGGAAGCTTTTTAGTTTTTAAATGGGAAGCCAGCTACAAAATAGAAAAGATGGCTTGCTGAAAGGTCCATATTTACTTTTTAAAAATAAGTTATGTCAAACCCTATTTGTCTAGCCACACCTAAGATTCCTTGCATCCAGGTACCAAGATCCTTTCCAACCTCTGAAAAACAGTATCATGCTCTTAAAAATTACAAGCTTTTTGCTTTCTGAAGGATCCTCTTCACGAACGCTCTAGACAGTTGACAGCAACTCATTTTCAAATTCATTAACCACTGCACAACAAATAAGTCTTTTATTCTGCAAGATGCACATCAATATACCTTAATAAAATCCAACAGGAGTCTTTGCCATTAAAAAAAAACAACAAAACATCAACTTACTTTAATGGCTCAAAGAATCTCAGCATTTTTTATGACTTAACTTGAAACTTCAGCTGATGAACAGTAGTTTTAAAGCAAATTCAAGGATTTGGTCAGACAATCAAATTAGTTATAAATTGCACTGCTTAAAATGTTTAGTTACTCAGTTAAAAAGCTTTAGTGTGTGTTATCTGGGAATCTGAAAATATTTTTCTGGAATGAGAGGTGGGGAGGAATATTAGATTGGTTTCTGTCACTCTTCTCACGCACGCTGTGATTTAGTGATACGAAAATCTTTATATATAAGCTGATAGGCTTATTATAGGCACTACAGGCAGTGCTTATAAGCTTTACGATGTAAGGACCAAGTGACTAATCAAAGGAATACTCTGGAGATTTCAGCAGGTTTCTTCAGCCTAGCTTGCACCTATCTCAGATTTGAACCCAATCATATTGCTTAGCTGTGTAGACATTCTACTTTACAGTAGGAAGTTAAAACACTTGCAGAGATTTTCAAATGCTCTCAGGCAACATAAGGCCCTGAGCTCTATTTCCTGAAGTAGAATCTCATGAATACAAAGTGGTCTAGAATGATGATAAAATAGCAAGGAAGAATTAATGCAAGATGTCATAGTGTACTGATTGCACAAATGCATTCATTGTTTCAATCTGAGTGTACAGCTACAATTTTCATTAGAATTTAGATTAGTTTTGCCAGAGATGCCAAGGGAATTCTCCGGTGCACAACAGTTTGGTCAGTGAAGACGCACAGCTCTGTTTCCAGTTTCAAACCTATAGATAAAAGCACTTTCAAATCTAAAAATACTTCGGTGAAAGTCTGAAGC